AGTTTTCTAACCAAAATCAGAAGCAAGCTGAGTCTTAGTTTAAGTCAAAACCTAGACTAGGTCCCAAAAGAAATCATTTAATATAAAAAACACACACAAAAAAACCACCAAAACCAACCAACCAACAAACCTGAAACCCACATGCAGGTTGTCACTCTCCCTGCAGAAGTGAGAGAAATCATGAAAGTCATCTTGCTGAAGAATAGAAGTAGCAAGCTGGTTGTTACAGGCTCTGACAGTTAACATCAACTATCAGTTTTCTACTCCATTAATGATGTAGATCCCTCAGAGACTGCAGCATTCTCATCAAACCCAGAAGAAACATTAACTTTAGTAAAATGCAAGGAGACAAGCCTGGGAAACCCAGTGAAATATAGTGTACTAATATGGAAGCAAGGACTAACGTAGTAATCCTCCAGATCCATCAGACAAACAAAAGTATCAACCAAAGAGCTTCTCTTTGAAGAGGGAGACTAATGAACAACAAGAACCCTAATGTATTTGGGAACTTAAGTCCATGAGGTTAAAGACTTTCTGTATTTCCTGTATATTCACTGTATATTCACCCTTGACTTCAAAGTCTTCAACTGCTTTTTGTGATACCAGTAAATGCAAAGGTGAAATGGAAATACAGTGAATAAAGTGGCAGAAGGGGAAGAAGATGACACTGGTAGAAATAGGAACATATGTGTAAACAATGCTGCCTCCAAGGAAAAGGCTGCATTCAGAAACTGAATGCAGAAGATGGACTATCAGGCAAAAGCTATATAGCTGCTGGATGCCAATGAGAGTTGGTACTGACTTAAGGTCAGCATTGATAAAACTGATACTTTGGTCTCTTCCCTACTGATAAAGATAAGGCTCTTAAACAAGCACTACAAGTCTTTTTAATCTTTGAATTTATCAAGAACTGTGACTCCAGTTTAACATGGAACTGAGAAGTTCTGTTCCTCTGAACAGGACTAGGTTTTCTACAGGCAGAACCATCTCTCTGCAGAAATGCAGGCCTTACAACTATTGCAGCAATTTAGTTAAATGCTATCCCATTCCCTACAAAAATCAACAGGGGATATGTAGTATCTCCTATCTGCAGCAGCCACAGCTGGTAGGAGAGCTCTGTTTAGCCATAAGTTACCCTCTTAGCCATAAGCTACCCCTTTGAAATTACTCTAAGTTCTTGCCCAGAAAGGTTAATTTCTCTTAATCATACTCTTTGCTAGAAAAGCTCTGCTGTATTTTTCCCCTTCATATTCACTGTAACTACGCTATTTAAACAAGATGTGGAAAGAACAGTGGAATAAATGAAAACTCAGCCCCTCAGAGGAGGTAGACTCTTATGAAATGAAGGATTAGAAGAAAGTGGGTTATACCCAACCTAAAGCTGCAAAATAATGTGTTTAAATTTTGCACAGGTCTTATGACACGTAAATCTAGCAGCAGCACTGTTAAAACCAGTTTTCTCACTTAAGGGAAGGACAAGTCCTGCTTCATCCTTTACGAAAAGCTGTTCCTAGGAGAACATAGTGACTTAAAATTTACCTTATTGAGAAAGAATTATTGATCAGATTCTTCGCTTGATGAGATTGTCAAATGTTTCCAGATAGAAAACTAAAGCCAGATGAACACCAGATCTGTTGCTGCTGTCTAACTACTTTCAAAGAATCAGGTGTGAAACATACAAGCAAGCCAATATAGACCTAGCCTGCCAGCGCACACTCACAGGACTACACAGAACTACTGGCTAGGGCAGCATTATGCCTTATTGAAACTGATGGAGAGGGGGTAAATACATCACAGTTTCCGGACATATTTTGCATGAAAATTCTTAATTAGTTCTTCATGGTCTTTGACAGATTTTCTCACGACCCCCAAAAAACATCAAAATAGAGAGAAGTCTGCTCCAGTATAAATTAGTAAGACAATTAAGGCTAAAGGTGAACTTCCCCGACAAGCACAGCCTAAGGGGAAAATTACTGAGGTGAAGCTTCACTTTTGGGTAAAATTCCCAGCTACGCAGTTCTCAGATAGATGGTGTCAAACAACACATGACTCAGTCCCGGCTCTATGAATACAGTGTCAATACCCATAGGACAGCTAAGAAAAGAAAGGAAAGAACAGTTTTAGGCCTTTGTCTGAGTCAAAGCATGGATCTGTGTGTTTTGCGAACAGCGAGGCAAGACAGGTCTGCTGTAGAGGACTTTGCTGCAAGAACTGGGCCTCTTATAATGGAAGACCTGGTCCTGAGATGGGTTTGCACAGACTTCCAGTATTTTCCACATAAACATCACTACTAGCACTACTGGTTCCAATCATTAGGAGAGGAAGGAGAAAAAGAAAAAGAAAAAAAAAAAAAGAAAGAAAAAAGGATGTTGCTTGAACTTTTCTTTATTGTGGGGAGTCAAACCAAGCCTGTCACAACATGTAGTACAGCAAAATGTATTTACTATTCATCACAATGAAGCAACGGATCAGAGTCAAGAGGCTGGAGCAGACCAATTCAATGTACTGCAGGTGATCTATCCCTCAGTTTTAACCTTCTTTTTTGTAAATTCTTTTTCAAACTGGAAGGATATAAGAGGCAGAGAGGGAGAACCAGTCTGGAAACTGAGCATCAGTGATGACTTGAGAGGCTGTGGACCTGTGTCCACGTCTGACACAGAGTCCCTCCAATGTATTCAAGTAACTTCCATGGCTTTACAGGCACCAGGCTTCTGTCATCCATTCGTAAGCCATTTTTATTCTCTTTCAAATAATGGTAAGCGTTTTCATGTCTTTTAACAATACACCTGTTGTATGCAAGGCAGGACTGAAATCATGCCACTCAAGAGAATCATCTTCTTTAGGAGATAAAAGGGAAAAGAAACTTCTCCAAAACAATATAGCAAGGACAGATGAGAGAATGCCAAGTACATTTGGCAGCAAAACGCACAGTCCAAACCTAAAGAGCAAAATACCTAGGAACAGGTAACTGCGCAGAAGAAGATAGTACTAGCAGTAAAATATGAACCTTGAAGAACAGGAGTGAAGAGATAAGTTAGATGAAACAATTTCTGGAGCAGAGAACAACTGTGCAGCAAATCATATCATGACCTCCCTATTTATCAACATCAAGCATATAGGTGGCAGGATACATGTGTGGTCTACAGATGCCAAGGAGGTAAACATTAATTTATGAAAACAAGGTGACAGGCGTGCACACATAGCTACTGTACAAATATGCACGTTAGGTAACATTAAAAGAAAAAAGCGAGACCTTGAAAGATGTGTATTTAGTAACGTTCATCAAAAATGCAATCACTGATAAATGTGCAAGTCACACTTCCCAGAAAGCCCTCCAATAGTTGTTCTTTCCAAAAGCTCAAGCTTCCGACACCTTGGACTGATCAATTAAATAATGGTAGCTTCAATGACTACCTTGCAAGATTGTGTTTCTGTGTCTTACCTAATTTTGTTCAGTAAGAATATATAACTGCTATACATAATCTTATAGTAAGACTAAAAAGACTGTCTCCACCTGCTGAAAGGCAACAGCTAGATCCTGAAATACTCATAAATAGGAAGTCAATCTTCTTTTTTCTTTAGTATGAACATGCCAGAGAAATGAGACCTGTTGTGAAATGTTTTCTACTTCTATACTTTTCACTGATGAAAAACAACAATATCTACAAGAAAGGATCATAATTTCACTGCAACAGTTAAAAACACTGTACCACAGAAATGTCTGCCCATGGTTAACTTAGATATATCCTAAGTATTGTAAAATTAGGTAACCTTAAAGCCAGGTCTTTGAAATCACACCAGAATAGACATGTAATTTCAAGAGAAAATATTTTCACTTTGATCCTAGGGGTTGACTAAGTTATTTTCATGTATTTCTCACAATATCCAATGAAATATTTACATCTTCTACATTCACCTTTGTAATTCTCTAACATTTTAAGTGGAAAACTTACACAGTTGCAGATATAGAATCTGAATTCAATGTAGAGTTAAAAAAGTACATTAAGTTGTATCTGCTACTAGTAAGAGCAACAAAAAGGTGTTCTATGTAAGCCAGATTCTTAGTTACATATTAAAATAACTGAAGTTGAAATAGCTACTCTAAAAATGTACTTTCAAAATCTAAAGTCAGTTAATACTGAATATACTTTGCATCCTTCTACCTTACTCTTACCTTGCATAAATGACACTTTTTTACAAATCTCAGTACCAAAAATTAAAAATCCTCAACTCATTTGAAGTTTTATTCATTTAGAAGATTAACCTAATGCTTTAATAGATCTTACTTTTAAAAAAAAAATCCGGACTAATTTCTCAAGCAAATGAAGTGGTGCAAAACCTGTTCATAAATAAGAAATCCCTCTAAAGTCATGGTTTCCCACCTACACATTGTAGGCTCTGGAATTTGTTTTTACTACAGAAACAAACAAACAGAAAAAAACCCACAACCTGCCCTTAATGCCCTCTCTCCACTTCAGAATCAATTTCATGCCCTCAGTCACAAAGTTCTCTACACCAAACTTGTACTATAAGTGCAGACCTCTAATTTTGTGCACAATTGTTCTATTTGGAATCAAATTGATCCAAATCACGTAACAAAATTTGCTCTCATGGGAGTTCTCCTTCAGCTCCAATGAGAGGATCTGAATATACATAGGGAATAGTTTAAAAAAAAAAATTCAAAATAATACTTTACTTGGAAAAACCCACACTAAAAAGTCAGTTATATAGTTTCTTTTTTCTCATATAAGAAGGATGGATTTTAAGTTTCATAAAGACAAATAAATTAATACTTGACAAGTATTTAGGCATGAAAAATGTCATTACTCCCAATGGATTCACTATATCCAACTGAAAAGTGTTATAAATTTTTTAATTTTTTTCTTGGTTGCAACATTGAACTTGCTCTCTTTGATTCCAAGCTTCTTCAAGAAATTCTTGGTTTATACAAACCAAATAACAATATGTGATGTCCTCAAAATAGTATCAGGAGCACTTACTCATCATACTTGATATGATAAATAGCTTCTTCATCAGTGTCCATACAGTCTGAATAAGATGTGGATGGTGTACTGTCCAAATTATTTGCATTTTCTCTAGAATGATCTTGACTTAAGTTTCCATTAGTCCTTTTGTAACTGTTACCACTTTTTCCTTGAGCTTTACCATTCTTATGTCCCTTTGTTGCTCGGGTAACATTTTCTATATGAGCTTCAAACCAGGCTCCAATGCTGACATCACGGGCATCCACCAACTCGTTTATCTAAAAGGAAAATTCAATAATGAATTTATGCTTATTCTATAGAATCCCAACTGAGAAAAAATAAGTAAGACAACTTACTATGCTACTGCTTAACTTTGTTATCAGTAAATCAACCAACTCTAGTCTAGTTGAGCCTAAGCAAGTCCAAGTAACACGAGGTCATGAATATGTTGCACTTTCAGTATTTTATTGCTCTTCCTCATTAAAATCTAGTATGAATATAATCTGTATGTAATTTTAAAAAGCGGGGCTAATTTTTTTTTTTTCCTTCAAATCTGAAAGTTAGCTTAATGTCTTCCATTATCCTTTTCTGTTACTTCATCAGTTGTTCTTTATGGCTAAAATAAGCATACAGAGCATTAAAATACTAGCTCACAACCAAGGGGTTTAAAGACTTTCCTGAGCCTCTAACTTGGAATTATTATTTAACCCTCTATTCTTCTGGCCTGCAAGATTTTTTTAATCATGCAAGACTCAAGGAGAGAGAGGGAAGAAACAACACTAACAAGGTTGCCAGCACAGTCAGTCAAAATCTTATGACTGTATGAAATGTAACTATCTCCCAGAATTTCTCCCTTCTGTACTCACAATAATACTGGTATTATGCAACTTTACTATTCCAAATCATGTTTCACTTTCTCAAGTCTTCAGCTAATTAAGCTAATTAATAGCACTGAGAACACTGAAAAAAAGATTTAAAGAACACTTCATCAACAGCACACCAAGTACTAAAATTTATTACAACAGAACTACTGCACAGCCATACCATAGAAAACATCTTTAATAAACAGTATGAGATACATACAAATATATATATATACATATATACGGTTTAAGCCACAGCCTTTCTCAAGTACCGACATAGTGGCAGACAGACACTCTCACTAACCACAAAGGCTAGTTTCTACAAACGGAACAATAGCCTTATACTTTCACAGGAGCAAGCCAAAAAAATATGCTCAATAACTTTTAGTGTTTAGAGTGAAGCAGTCCTTATGTATCTGAAAATGAAATTGACAGCACTCTGAGCTAACAAGTTTATCCCAAGAGAGCAGTACTTTGTATTTTACTCTTTTCATTCACCTTCTTCAAATGACATCCAGAACTCAATCCTTTAGTTTTCCTCCCATGTAAATACCAACATGTGTTTTTTTATTTTTATTCTTCCAATGTACAATATTCAAAGTACAGCTTTTTACCAGGATGAAAATTTCAGCAACATAATAAACACAGAGGAGGACAGCCTCATTTTAAATCTATCAATTTATTTTAAACATAAACAGTGGATTCTGGCACTTCTAGAAGGAACTTTCATGAAGACATCCCTACACAACTTTACATGTTTGAATTAGTTGTAAATCAAAAGTGCTTCTTTCCTTCTTCCTCTCAAAACCACAGCTGAGCAAGACACACTATCAAAGATTCCCCCATCTGGTGCTACTTCTTGTGACCAGTTAAGAAAGTGCTAGAGAAGCCATGTTAGCCAAGTTAAAAATCATCATCAGATCCAGAACAAAAAAACATTAAAAAAAGTAAATCAGTGCAAACTCCCTTAATCATTCTTCTCCAACACATCCTTCCATGCATTCCTTTCATGTGCATACTTACACAACAGACTTCCGACCGCTGCAAATAGTAATGGCAAGTAACTATTACCACAGACCACTGAGGAACATCAGGCAACTATTTTACGTTAGTGGTGTCTGGTTTAAGAACTGGGTTATTAGCAGCTCTTTGTGAACAGTATTAAACAAAGACTGATTTTAATTATAGATTCAGTTTTTGTTGAAGCTAAGTTAAGAGCTCTCTGCTAAAATGTTTTTACTACAGCCAGAGATTTTTGGATGAAAAGTTATGAAGACCGTGTGAGAATCAGAAAAGGAAACATGCACATATTTCTTCATCCACTTTGGATTTTGTAACATCATTCCTGCATGCCCAACCAGTGTTACTGTAACTCCTCTCTTGTATTCCTCCTTTCAGCATTGAAGATCAGCAATAGGTATCCTGCTTAGCCAAGGTCGTGTCCTTCTCATATGCTGAGTCCACCTTGGGACGGACCTCCCCAGTTCTTAAACCAGAGATCACTAACAATTCTCCATCTTATTAACAAGGAAAAGGAGTTGAACATAATTCCACACACTACCAGTCCTTCAGAGCCCATGTAAATATTAGATGTTGGGTACAAACGAAATATAAAACAAGCTAAAGCATTCTGATTTCATAATATACAATTGTTGGGGCATAGGAGAAAAATAAAGGACATTACATAACTTCTGTAGATAGTTAACAAAGACATGACCCTAGGAGAAGAAATAGTATGGCATCATAAATCAGCCAAACAAGCAAATACTAAGGTAAGAGCTATAAACAGATAACCAAAGACATACATCCCACAGTGCCTAATCCATATACCTTGTTAATGTCTGTCACAAGGAAAGTAAAACCGATAATAAGACAAAGAGAAGAGTACTTTAACTATAAGCGAACCCTCCTAAATAACATAGTAAAAAATTTGTCCTCGAGTAAGGAAAGCCCCCCCCACCAACAAAAGCCCCTTCCTCAGAGAGTGTGTGTAGTAGAAAAAAAGGATACTGTGACTTTAAGTGGAGACTTGCAAGAGCCAAGAGAAACAATGGTGACTGTGCTTAACTGTAACAGTACTGGTAACTGTTGCTCAGACTGTGTAAATGCTCAGGGTGTGTTAGCCAAAGGGTGCTAGCTTTGTGGAGTTAGGACCTAGCACCCATCTATGCACAGACATGAAATAAACAAATATCTCAACTCTCTGTGTTTATTGGCTTTTTGCACACCAGGTAAAAGAACCCTGACTTTTTGGGACAACACAAAAACCACACAGAGGAACTCTGTTCAAATCACTATTTTAACCATCTACCAATAATTTAATTACTATTAACTATTATTTCCCATATCCACTCTACCTCTTTTGGGTTGTTTGGGTTTTTTAAATTACAAGTTCCATACTGGCTACCTTCCCTTTTGGTAGTTGAAATCAGAAATAGAAAGGAGGGCACAGAGACTGAGACTATTCACAACATGGAGCAAGCAACAGGTAGTTTGTTGAGCCTAGCTCTGGATACAGATCCAGTGAGACACAGGACTTTCCTCAGACAGAAAAAGTTGCAACAAACTATTCCTTCATATAACTCAACAGTTCTTTACTGTTTGACAAACAAGTAAATGCAAAATAATTAAATACATCCATCTAACATAGCTCCATTTATGGCCTTTTTTACTCACTTTTATTAAACAAGTTATCCTGGTTTGGCTAAAACAAGGTTAATTTTCTTTCAGGAGTTTTTCTTGCAGTTAAATCCCTTTTAAGTAACTGCACTTTCTGAAAGTACAGCTACATGTTTTTCAGACACTGTCTGTGTTTCAGGTCTGATAACACTCCATGTTTGTAGTTGCTACTGAAGTATCAGTAGGATCGGTATGCAGAGAACCAAGGCCACTGCTGGCCCTCTTTTGTTAAGTGAGTAAAAAGTCATAAACGGGTCGCGCCTGCGGAAGAGTGCAGATGACCAGAAAACAACTAACGAGGTATTCCATCCCATCCACATCATCCTCAGTATAAAGCTAAGGGATCGCAAGGGTCTCGCTCTCCCCTTTCACGGCCGGCATCCCTGTGGGACC